TATCTAGTATGTCTTTTGGGGTCAAATTTGAACTCAGGAAGATGAGTTTTCCTGACTCTAGGCTGGGCACTCTGTCCACTGCACCACCTAGCTGCCACATGATTTCACTGCATAATGACTTCTAAAATTGAATAGGACCCCTCTACTGTTTGGGCAGAACTGTCCATAAATTGGAGAAATGTCATTTTTTAAAGATGGTTTTAATATTTCACAGTCAGTCAGATCATGGGGAACAATGAAAATTACTTTGGGTTGGGATCAGATGACTTGGGTTCACATTTCAGCTCTGATAACTTTATTACTGTTATGCCTTTGGACATGCCAGCTGGGTCTCTGTTTTCTCATCTGCAAAATGAGACAGTTGGGTTCATTGGCCTATGAGAGCTTTTCTGGCTCTAAATCTATAATCCTGGGACCTTGGTTTAAACCCCAGCTCCCTCACTAACTACCTGACCTTGGGCTAAAGTTACTTAACCTTTCAAGTCAATGTCCTCATCTATAAAATAAGAGGCAGGTCTAGGTGGCCTCGAAGGTCCTTTTGAACTCTAAATCTCTGATCCTTTGGTGAGACTAGCAAATAGGAAAGTGAGAGGAGCAGCGGAAAGAGAAACACAGTTACTTGCAGCTTCAACATTGAGAAACTGTGGAATTTCCCCACAAATATATTTACAAATAAAATACAGTAACAAAAACCTCACAAGGATAGATTTTCACTGTGATATGAATGGACTTTGTGCAGTCAATAGAAAAGTGACGTGTGCATTGAAAAAAAAACCCACTAAGTTGCAGAAAAATTCCAAGCCAGAGGTCTAAAAAGTGCCAGAAATGATAGAAATCCTATTGTGATTCTCTAATCTAGTACAATGGGGCCAGGGGATGCAATGTAATTTTCCAACTTATTTAAATAAGTTGGACTGCTGGCTCATTATGGAAAAGATGAATTAGATGCATCTGTAATTGGATGTGTGAATGAGTTTACATAATGTGTTATATACACATTAGAATATAGTTACATCTGGAAGGAAAATAACCTAACTGCATGTTATATAATATTCATACAAATGGAGACTCCAGCACTCAGAACTGGAAAGGACCTCATAAACTATCTAGTCTAGCCCCTTCAATTTATAGAGAGGAAACGGAGGCTTTGAAAAGCCAACCAGCTTGTATGTGGTCACACAGGGCATTAGTGGAAGAGCAAGGATTTGAACTCAGGGCCTAGGACTTTTTAAGTCTTTAATTAATTAAATATTATTTACCTTTAAAAATACATGTATATATTTTATAAATTTATTTATATTTATACGTAATATAATAAACAGAAGTACAAAGTATATATATTTATAAACTATACACTTATAAAATGGGTTTATTATTTACTTAATTAATTAAAATAAATTAAGCACTTATTTGTCCCAGAAGCACAGAATTTTGGAGTAGAAAGAGACCTTAGAGTTCATTTAGTCCATTCTTTTCATTTCACAGGTGAGTAAACCAAAGCCCACAAAAGTAAAATGACTTGCCCAATGTTACATAGCTGTTCATAGGAGAACAGGGACTTGAACCCAGGTCTCCTGATTCCCATTCTTTTGCTTTCCCACACATCCCATCATCTACAAATGTATCTGCTATGCAAAGAAGAGACATGACAGTAGAGGCTTTCTCTCCAGAGAAGCCTTCATAGTAGATTTTTCTTGTGATATACTTGGAAGCTCAGATGGGGAACTGTGACCTCCTTCATGTGGCTACTTCTAATGGTGCAAATTTTGATCCATTTAACTAACTCCTTCTCCAGCTCCATGATTTTTTTTTTGCCCAAGTCCTCCTGCAAATATGTCGTTGTCTTCTTCTTCTTCTCCTTCTCCTTCTCCTTCTCCTTCTCCTTCTCCTTCTCCTTCTCTTTCTTCTTCTTCTTCTTCTTCTTCTTCTTCTTCTTCTTCTTCTTCTTCTTCCTCCTCCTCCTCCTCCTCCTCCTCCCTCCTCTCTCCTCCTCCCTCCTCCTCCCTCCTCTCTCCTCCTCCTTCCTCCTCCTCCTCCTTCCTCCTCCTCCTCCTCCTCCTTCCTCCTCCTTCCTCCTCCTTCCTCCTCCTTCCTCCTCCTCCTCCTTCTCCTCCTTCCTCCTCCTCCTCTCCTTCCTCCTCCTCCTCCTTCTCCTCTTCCTCCTCCTCCTCCTTCTTTCTTCTTCTTCTTCTTCTTCTTCTTCTTCTTCTTCTCTTCTTCTCCTTCTCCTCCTCCTCCTCCTCCTTCCTCCTCCTCCTCCTCCCCTCCTCCTCCTCCTCCTTCCTCCTCCCTCCTCGTCCTTCCCTCCTCCTTCTCCTCTTCCTCCTCCTCCTCCTTCTTTCTTCTTCTTCTTCTTCTCCTTCTCCTCCTCCTCCTCCTCCTCCGTCTTCTTCTTCTTCTTTTTCTTCTTCTTCTCCTTCTCCTCCTCCTCTTCTCCTCCTCCTCTCCCTCCTCCTCCTCCTCCTCCTCTTCCTTCTTCTTCTTCTTCTCCTTCTCCTCCTCCTCTTCCTCCTCCTCCTCCTCCTCCTCTTTCTTCATTGCAGCTTGCTCAGGCCCATCATGAATCGCTTCCCTTCCCTTTGGGTGATCTGTCTTCTACAGCAGGCTTTTGCTGATGCCCTTCCTTCCCCATTATTAGGGCATCTCTCTCTCTCTCTCTCTCTCTCTCTCTCTCTCTCTCTCTCTCTCTCTCTCTCTCTCTCTCTTTTATAATCTCCCTGCCTTCCATTTCCTTGTATTTATTTTGTGTATGTTTTGCATACACCTATATGAGTACATAATGTCTGCCCTGATAGAATGAAAGCTCTTTGAAGGAAGTTATGGTTTGATTTTTGTCTTTATGTCTCTGGACCCTATCTCAGTGTCTGCATATAGTGGGAATATAGAAATCACTTATTGTTTTTTGTCACTTTGCTGATTGATGGACTGTTGTTACTCTGGTTACCACAGTGATGATGATGATGATGATGATGACAACTAGTACTACTACCACCATCACCATCACCACCACCATCATTCTTCTTCCTCCTATTACTACTACTACTACTACTACCACCACCACCACCATCACTATGATTACTACTACTACTACTACTACCACCACCACTATTACTACTACTACTACTACTACTGCTACTACTAGGGTTTTTCTAAGTTAAGATCAATCTTTTCCTGATGAAGAACAATTTTTGATAGTTGATGATCTTATGATCACCAACAAAGTTAGGCTTGGGAAGGCTGAGTGTTTCAGTCCTGAGTGGATTGGGGATTCTAGCACTAATCCCCACTACATATAGAAGTGCCATTGGCTCCACATCCGTATTTACTGGAGCTGCAGGAAAGCCACCAGCAGAGTAGAGTGACTGAATGGCAATCTCACTTGGAGACTGAACATGCAAGGCTTAAAGAGTATTTTAAAAAATAGGCATGAACATATTTCTTCCCCTCCCTCATTTCATCCCTCATCATAAAGTTGACATGGTCCTAAAAATGGAATGGATTTCAAAGGGAATAAAGCAAATAAAAAGTTCAATTTAACTCAGTACTTTGCAGAAAAGTCTACATGTGCATAAAGTTCTTAGTAAGTTGGTCATACGCCTTTTGACAAATACAGGCACATACTGGCTGATGTGGTTAATTGATTCTTTTCAGAAATGTGAGTTTAGATGTTCCTATTGGGGTTTAGTTATAATGTATAAACAGTGTCAGCAGAAGACAATGGTTGTCAGGCCAAGTACTATATAAAATATGCCCATGTACACGACATTTTCATATATGTGTTCATATATGCAAGCTATATATGTACATATGTACATGTATACAGGTGTGTGTGTGTGTGTGTGTGTGTGTGTGTGTGTGTATATCATTTTATCTTTTTTTTTTTGGTTGTCCAAACTCTCCATGACCTCATTTGGGGTTTTCTTGGCAGAGATATTGCAGTGGTTTGCCATTTCCTTCTCCAGCTCATTTTACAGATGAGGAAACTAAGGCAAATAGGGCTGCTCATGGCCACACAGCTAGTAAGATGTATATATACAAAGAGCTTGGGCTTTGAGTCTGAATAAAGCTGTATACACATCTCTACGATATCTTACATACATACAAAATATTCATTTAGGATAAAAAGAGTTGGAATAAATAATTCTAGCACCTAAAAGAAATGTTTTTGGCAGTGTAAATTATCCAGCACAATCTACCTAGTGCTTTTCTGGGTCTTAGGATCAGCCATCACTTAGAATTTGCTTCTGGGATTCCTATAATGCAGTATACCTACTAAAGGGCTGGGATATTTTGTTTGTCTTAGGGAGGTTAAGGGATGTGGGTATCAACACTGAGTGACTGCCAACTCATGTTTGATCATCCTCAGAGTTTGTATGTATAATGGAAGGAAAGGAAACCACAAAAATGTTTTTCATTTTAAATCAAAAGTTATGATTTTATTTTGAATATTAATACACCAGAAAAAAATAGTTCTTTTATGTCATGAAATATGCACTTGAAAATGGTAACAATCCTGACATTGCTCTGGTTTGTTCTATTAGGCTTACATGGATGGCTGAGCATCGATTACAGACTTCCTAAAAGCCTGTGTCTTCCAGTGGTTTTCAAGAAAGCAGCTGGAAGCATCCCGTGACAGCCTGGCCCATATGAAGCAGACAGAGTCTAAGAAAGAGCAGGACCTCTTGCTAAGGCCCCTCAGCTTTTCATTAGGATTACCCCACTTTTATGTATTAGGGAAAGACCAGAGTGATACAAAGTGGGAAAACAATTTATTATAGGTATCAGCCTGCTAGTGAGGACCCCCTAGACAGCTTAGCCTGCTATCACATTTAAATAACCAATTTCTTTGAATGATACTTCAGGAGAAGCCCACTACAACGTGGTCCCTGATACCATGGATTTGGATTTACATTTATAACTATAGCATGGGGAGACCCATCTTCCTATACCTGAGCCTTGGCCCAGTAGGACGATTTTACAAACTACCAACTTTGGTATTGATGCCTCCCCCCCCCCCCACACTACAAATGTGTTTCCATTGTATCTACTTGGCTTTCTTTGATTGGAGAATACATGGTCTAATTATGCCATCCCATTAATGAACATGACAGGGAGAAATGAGAAACAAGAAACCCAGAATCTGTTTTTTTATTCTTCTCCACAAACCTTGACCATTGAAAGGCATATGGATAAGAGGAAAGCAGCATGGTGAAATCACATGGGGCTTGAGGTTCCTCACCAGCCTTTGTATGGATGCACATCATCTTGCCATCTGACCTATGAGTTCTACCTTATGCCCCAAGTGCACTCATCATCTGGAGTATGTTCCAAGTGGTATCTCAAATAATGACTTGAAAAAAAAGCATTTTGTCTGCTTCGATGCTGCCATTTCCTTAGAGTCACTGGCCTCCATTTAGAAAGACTGCTGACTCAACTACCTGTGGCCTATGTTACCCAGTGTCAATTGTCTGCCATATATAAAGAACTTCGTTCACATTCTCAGCCCTTATCCTCACTTAGGTTCCTATACGTGGGGAAGTCCAGAACCAGCAGTTCTTAACTGGTCTTGCTTTTAAATGGATATTTTGGCCTGAAGTACAAGTTGGACAGCAACATACACTCTAAAGAGCAGACGGATGGCCTCTAGGCTGTAGACAGTAACTGGCTCACAGCATTAATGCAGGCAGTACCTTTTGGTCCAGAATGACAATCATATTCAGCATCACAAACAGAAAGAAAGCTGAGAAGTCATTTCTCCCCCCTCACTGAAAAGCTATGCATTGTCATCAAGGCATTCTGACGTAAGAATTCTCATCAAGGTCGAGATCTTTTCAGTGAGATGGTGTCCCAGCATCTCCATTCCACAGGAAGAAGGCTCTCAAGGTAGAAAGGCAGACCTGGGTCATGTCTCTACAGCTCTGGCATTATTTACTCTTTTCAGCCAAGTGAATGAATGGCTGATAAGGATCACCTCACAAATGAGCCAACCAATTCTCTAGAAGTAAACTGGTTAATTGGATGGGAAAAGAATGCTTACATTTACTTTGTGGCTGACTTGTGATATACCTCTGGTCTCTGGCCAGAAGGAGATAAGTACATAGCCCTCCGTCCACTGGCTTTTATCTTGTTAATTTTATCTTGTTAATTTAGTAGCCTGGGACAAAGGATCAGCCTGTGAGATTGTTTCTTCTACAGTGTGAGTGACTCTTCCAGTACCTTCGCTCCCCTCATGTAATAAATACGGTTTTATTTTGTCACAGAGATCCATCTAGTTTCTTAGTGAAACTCTATTGGTTCACTCCCTGAAAATGCTCTCCTAGGAAAATAGTCAATTTTACGTTCGATCCCAGGAGACTCTCCTCTAATGAAGTATCTGACTCTTGGTCAAAGTCTATCCTAAGTGAAGTGGAGAATTGAGATATCTAGATAATTCTGATCTTTCATTCCTTTTCCCTCCCCATTCCTCCTCCCTCTAGAGGGAGGGAAAAGGGAATTCTCCCCCCAAATATCTAGATAAGGCAACAGAATTATCAGAATAACTAGCTCAATTCTGTGTGATGTTGTTGCTACTGACTTGACATTGGAAGCAAACATCTGTAGGAGGTGCCATCTTTCTCTACTCTGTTAGAGAACAAATAATTCAGTGGAAACTTTTTCTGTGGCCTTGTTGACTTCAGACGATGTTCAGCAATTGGAACACTGGGTTTTCCTGGGATAGTACTCTGTGTCTCTTTCTTTGCGGATGCTTTCTTCATACTGGGTTATCAGACTAGAATGCAATGAAAAAACTTCAATAGAAAGAGAATCTATTGCAGCATAGTGGGGCATCTACAAAAACATGCCTGCCCAAGGCTTTCTGGAATGTCAACTTAGAGCAGAATTATTAAGATGGCAGTCAATTCTCTGGTAGGTTTGGGGGATTTTCCTATGGATTGTATAATCCAGTTAACAACATTGTAAAATATTGTACTACCACATGAAATGATGGAACCTGCAGTATTAGAATCTGAGTAAAAAGGAAGTGGGTTGTTTTTGATGCTAAATATCGGTGATCCACTTCAAGATATGTAGCCCATTTAAAAATTATTTGTTGAACATGGAACAATAAAAAAAAGAATTCAAAATAACTTCAAATGAATATGAATGCTACTCCACACTCTAGGAAAAGCCAGCCTGGAAACCTCCTAATCTTTCTAGGAAATGCCAGCCTGGAAACCTCCTAATCTTTCACTGATTTTGACCTAGGATCAAATCATTAGTGATATAAGACATGGAATTAAGCATATGTTTTGACAGCAAACTGCTCATCAGTCCTTCAATGAAAGCAAAATCAGCTTTCATTTTGTACCCTTTCGCCTACACACCCTTCTTTTCATTAATTTGCCTATACTAAGTTATTGTTGACTTTTTTTTTTGGGGGGAAGGCTTATTGCACAATGTTTAATAACTCCCAAAGCTGAAGATAACACTGCTCACACATTTTATAAAAATCTATTTTTTTTCCCATTACAATTCTATCATTTCGGCTCATGGTAGTTGCATTGTAAACAAACATCACATTCATCTAGCTATTGTTTTTTTACATGTGCCAATGATGCTGAAACATCATAAAATACTCAGAATAATTTTACACAAGGTAACACTCCCTAGCCCCATATTCTTATAACTTTGACTCCTTGCTAATTGGTAAAAACCATTCACACCGAATGGAATGTAACTTTATTCTTTTTTTTTTAAATTCCACACACACAAAAAGCCCTTGTCATCTTTGACCAGAAAACCAGAGCAGCTCCATTCCATGAATGACAGCACAATTAAAGCTAAAATAATACAAAAATAATTTGAAAAAATCCCTTGTACTGTACATTGTCAAATAAAGCAAGAAAGATAAATGACAATCTTTTCTAACAGCCAGAAAAATGTGTGTCTACTCGGTTGGGCTTTGCAGTTCAGTTCTGTGTAACCCACACGGTGTGCATATGCGTGTGGTCAGATGTATATAGTCTATGGAGATTAGAAGCCCCTAACCTGTTTATCTAGTTCTTCTAATTTTTAAGCTACTTGACGGATACAGTTTGAGTACTATGGCATCACATGAAACAATGACTTTACATGATTGCTTCTTTGAAATACTAAGAACTCGTACACATTTATTTGGCTTGTAAAGGACTGAAATATTACAGAGAATGTAATCTAACTTTGCCTTTAAAGAATATGGCTCTTAAGAACGGATTCTCTGATCAGTTCTGATCCAGAGTGAATGACCTTGTTTGACTTCTGAAGCTAACTTGTACGGGGTCAATGGGCCAATTTTTTTTTTTAAATGGGTTTCAAAACTTGAAGGGCCTTGGATTTTCAACTGTCATGGCCAAATGCGTTCCCTTGTATTTGCTCCACTTGACCAGAAGAGGGCACTTTAAACACCTCTACACTGCTGGAAAAGCAGGTGTGGCAGGTGCAGAAACACAGTGTTAACTCAATACTGCATGGAGTTCTGCAGTTATTTATTTTTCTTGAAAGTCACAAAAAATATAAAATGTGTACCATATCACAGGTTTTTACATTGAAAGCTGTGTGTGCGTGTATGTGTGTGCATGAGTATGTGTGAATATATAGGGAGGAATATACATATTGCCTGTATTTATGGAATCTTGTTTTAGCTTGTCTTCCTCTTTCCTAGGATCCCTCTCTCCTGCCCCTCCCTCAGTGGAAGTGAATATTTTCTAGCCAGTAGGATTAATTTTCATATTATTTGGTTGTGGTTTTGCCTTTTTCTTCTTTTTTTTTTTAAAGTCCCTTTGCCCCTCCCCTCCCAAGGTTCTTTTTAAAAAAGTCTCAGGTAAGAGAACAAAGATGAATCTCTTTTATCCTATGCAATAATAGAAATCACTGGACTTCCATCGGAAATGCACTTGGACAAATTCTCTCTCATTTGGAACTAGGCAGTCATGTTTTGTTCCTCGTTTTAAAAACCTGGTCAAAGTATCACACCCCGGCTGGTTTTTGCATACTCACTAGCCAAAGGGCTGCACACAATTTCAAGATTGCAGTGGGAAACATCAAACTTTTCTCTTACTCATCGAGTCATGGCTCATGACCACTTAAAGAAACCTTCTAGATACCTTTTGTATTTAGCCTAACACTGCCAGCCTTTCCCAGGGAAAGTTTTCCATTTCTGCCAAAGCGCTGGTTCTATAGGCACACCCCCTGCACATCCACCATTTTTGTCTTTTTCTTGTTGGCTCCAGTTTAGTGTCGAAAAAGATTAGAAAGCATATAGAAATACTTTTTTTGTTTTGTTTTGTTTTTAGTAAAAGTCTTCTGTCCTTAGGGAAATATGACACTTATTAAATATTTTTTTTTCATAAAATTTGTTAATAACCTTCATTTGCCTTTTCTTTCTTTCTTTCTTTCATTTTTTCTCCTAGAGTTGACAGGTACGAGAGGGATGGTGTCTCAGCAGCAGTCCTTTGAGATGGAGTTGAACTCAGTGAGTCCTCACCATAAAAGGATCATAAACTTACTGGGTTAGATCAACCTAGTTACCCCTAAGCTGCCAAGTTTTGTTTTTAATTATTATTATTATTTTTAGCTGCACCATATATATGATTCCTTGTGCCATTTTCTTTTGTCTAGTTTTTTTTTCTTGGTGACCCTGAGCTATGGCTTCCTTCTCAGTTCCAACACTATTCAGCCTTCCTGATTTTCCTCATTTTGCCGATGTAGGCCTCGAAGAAAAAATGACAGAAGAGCACAAAGTAGCTGAGGTACATGAGTGAGGACAAGATGATGTTCTGAACGTGAGAGTGGCACTGGTCTTGCTGCATCCAGGAGAAGACTAGATAGTTAATTACACAACCCATCACCATTTGTGTGATCTGGGACAAGGTGATGAACATGGCGAACTTTCGCGAGACCCGGAAGCCCGCCGCCCTCAAGGCGTAGTAGGAGTACATTACTGCATGCACTCCATAGTTCATGGTCATGAACCAACCACCTCCGGCAACCATGTCCTTGTAAGAGTACCAAGAATACAGCAGCACAGTGATATGGTGATACCAATGCAGGAAGATGAGTTTCTGTTTTCGAAGAATAATGAATATTGTATCTCCTGAAAGAAAAAGAAAAAGACACATGAGTGCATGAGCATGAGAACAGCTTTATGGTTCAACTGAAGCCTCCTTTGAACACGTGACAGCCGTATTGATTTTGAACCGGGAGAGGATCTTAGAGGTCATCCAGTCCAAGGTGGTGCAGTGGATAGAATGCTGGACTTTGAGTCAGGAAGACTTGGGTTCAGACCCCACCTCAGATACTTACTAGCTGTGTGACCTTGGGCAGTCACAACTTCTCAGTGTCAGCCTCCCATAATCAAACGGGAGGAAAATTAGCATCTATATTACCAGGTTGTGAGGATCAAATGATATAATACATGTGAAATGTTTTGTAAATCTTAGGATGCCATATAAATGACAGATATTGTCAACATCATCGTCATTATCAATGAAGATACATGTTTAGAGAAACTAAGCAACTTGCCCAAGGTGACTTAGCTTGTATAGCAAGTTAACATTGGAAGCCAGAACCACAATCTAGATCTTCAAACTCTCAGTTCAGTGTACTTCCTATTATACCATGCTATCTCCTAGGTGGCAGTGTGGATAGAATGCTGGGCCTCAAGTCAAGCGTGACCATGGAAAAGTCACTTAACCTCTGCTTGTGTCAGTTTCTTCAACTGTACAATGTGGATAAGACAGAACCAGGTTGTTGTGAGAATCAAATGAGATATTTGTAAAAGGCACATATTAGGTGCTTAATAAATCTTTGTTTCCTTCTCTCCTCCCTCTCTTCCTTCCTTTCTTTCCTTCCTTCTTCCCTCCCAGTCTCCACACTCCCAACACTGACTTCATGCTAGGAATACAGTTGCTAATTGCCAAAGGGGTTGCCAAACATTGGTGAATCTACGTTGAAAAGTGAGGTGGCTTAATTAAAATGATCCGTAAAGTCTATTCCAGCTCTAATATCCAATGATTTGCCTAGAAGTGGTAAGCAGTCATATGAATGCGTGTGGCATGGTGGCTCTGTTGGATTTCCTCAAAAGAAACCTCAATATGTTCCTCAAGGAAAAAATCCATTGTTCCTGCTACTGAGAATTCCGAAACAGGAATTATACTCTAAGATCTGAAGTGAATCTTTGAAAACTTTATGGTATAGCAAAATAAGAATTATGCTGGAAGTCAGAAGTTCTGGATTTGAATTCTGATTCAGCCATTAGCAACCCTAGTCCTGTGATTTCCTTTCTTTGGAACTCAGTTTCCTTTTCTATAGAATGAGGATGTTGAATTGAAGTATATCTAAAGTTCCTTCTAGCTTCTGGTTTTAATTTTCTGTGAAGCTAGGCAGGGAATTTTGGCACCATGGTATATTTGTGGGAAAAATAAAAAAGATATAATAATATCTTATTATAATATATTAAGATATTACATATAAAATGAAATAATACATAAATAATATATATTATTTATATTATATTATAATATATTATACTATGTATTATAAATATCATTCATATTATAAATAAATAATAAATTCATATTATAAAGAAATAATATGATAAAAACCAAAAGATAAAATTTCATGATCATAATAATCTTTCATTCTAGGAAGTATTTTTCATCTCTGTCAAAGGGAATTTCAAAAATAGATACACATACACATATCACATCAGATCAAGAAAGTCCCTCTAAAGGGAAACCCTATAAGAGCATTTAGGAGTATAGCTATACTTTGAGTAGTGTAGAACCAAAATACAGTATCACTAGAATCAGAAAGTTCTGCATGAATTTTGGCTGGACTGCAACAGGAAATTCAACTTCGGTTGGCCCCCATGCTCAGATATTATTATTTATTATCTTTATTATTATTATTATGGCTGTTGTTCCTACATCACTGTATTTCTCACCATCATTGTCTCTGAGAAACTCAGACACATTCTGCAGCTTTTGTGGTGTAAGCCCTTGGAAATCCAAACTTTGTCTGCTTCTACAGAAGGGAAACAGAAGCCCTTACTTTCTGTGCTCATAGACCATCAAGCTTCCATGGGCAAAACTGGCTAGAGCAAAGCTGAGTCAGAGTTAAAAAAAACCCAAAACAATGGTGAACTCAACTTTGAGCGATGGGCCTCACTCACAACAGATGTTTCCAAGTTTTCACAAAACTTAGTCTCAGCATATTTGTAGTGCAATTCAAACAGTAGGCAACCAGTAGATTTGGGCACACAAAACAAGGTTTCTTCCTTTCACTTGTTCTGATAAACTATAACTCTGTAATTCACTGAAATGAGCTCATTGTTTTACGGCTGAAAGAGAAAGCCTTTCTTGCTCTGAAGGATATTTAGTAAAAGCTGCAGGCACAAGGCTTTTTGGGGGAAATGTGGCCCTAGAAATTAATATGGGAGAGTGGCTGAATTCTTTTTTTTTTCCCTTCTAAATAAATGATCTTCTTTCCGATGAAAGAAACAAGGTAATTTATAAAGTGGGCACAAAATCTTGGATTAAGGAAAATACTACCTTTGAAGATCTAAAAAGAATAAATATCCCAAATAATTCAAATTGAGGAACTTTTTGTTGAAAAAGAGAGTCTGAAAGTTGACAAAAGGAAAGTTAGCATAAAAATTTAACTTAAATATCTCTCATGAGAGAAATATTCCTATCTTTTAGAAGATAGGCCTGGGGTCTTGAGAACAGCATGGCACAGCAGACAGGGATTTGGAGTCAGAGTTGGAAACCTGGCTTTGCCATTTACTGCTTGTCTTTTCTACAAAGCAAGCAGGCAGGATGCTATGACCCCTAAAGTTTCCTTACATCTCTCATATCTATGATCCTAGGAACAATTTTATTTTCTATAACACAACCAGTTTCCTTCTCCTCCATTTTTGAATCACCAGTTTGCATCTGGAAGGAAATCAAAGAATTCTAGAATTTGAAAATTGGAAAGTACTTTTAGCTGCCATCTTGTCTAACCCTTACACAAAAACACCAGTCCTCAAATTATGCTCTGAGGGTCCCAAGGTCCTGAGGGACCCCTAGGGGTCTAGAAAATAAAAGTTCTTTTCATGAAAATGCTAAGATATTATTTGCCTATTAAAATACTCTTCTCTTTTCTAACTACAGATCTTTGAAAGGCTGGATTATCTTTCTAGACTTCAATCAAAACAATCTATTACAACAGACTGAGTGCAGAAGCAGAGAGGAGAATACAGTGGTCTGACAATATTAAAGATATTTCACAAAAAAATATCTAAAACAATGCTACTCTTCTCACTAAATATTTTGTTTTGAAAAATATAATTAACAGGTTAGCATTTTGTTTGTTATTGTTATTTTTAAATGAATGAGTGAATATTTAAAAATTATGTTTTAATCTTTAATACATTAAATATTGATGGAGATAACCCACATAAATATAAGGTTTTTGGGGTCCTTGATAATTTTCAACAATGCCAAAAAGTTTGAAAACTACTATACTATAACACACCTAACAAAAACTTTGTGTATTATTGATAATAATAAGATTTTGAGCTGAGAGGCCTTATATAACATCTAGTCTATTTCCTACATTTTCAATGAAGTCTCAGAGAGATGAAATGATTTGTCAGAGGTCCTATAGACAGTAAATGGCAAAGGCAGGATTTAAACCATACCTGTACTCCAAATCTTAAAAGCTTTTTTCTCTGCCCTACTATCCCTCCAAGTACCCGGGAAGAGTTTCAGGGAAAGGGGTCTTGTCTTAATAGGCTACCAGGATAACTAAAAAAAAAAAACCACTATAAATAACAACTGTGAAGCTCCATGACAATTTGTGACTCTTCATAGTACTGCCACGTAAATATGACTGTCTTAAGAGGTGTATGGACTTCAGTCTTCTTGTGTTCAGAAAAAGAATACTGAACACACTTCAACACTGTCATTTAACTGTGAAGAGCTCTGTTCCCTGATCTCATAATGCAGCAAACCTCAAAACTCTACAAGGAGGACTGAACTTTACATTTAAATGGAGATTCAAGCCTATGGTGACTGTGTGCACATGGTGGTAAGTGAGGGGGAGAAGGAGAAGGAAGAAAGCTAAATGTGGTCACATGGCCCATTCTCTGGAACCTTATCTTCTTTTCCTAATGTGACATCAGATTATCATTGAGGACCAATGTATATTTTTGTACTGACTAATGAAATGCTGAGCTGAGGACTGGCTTGCATCTTGTCATCTGGCTGATGATATACTGGGGAGGTATCATCCCATAGTTGTCCTAGCAGACCATATACATGTGTATGTGTATTCATAAACTTAGAGCTCTGGGACTTCAGAGATCATGTAATCCAATTCTGTCCCTTTTTTTTTTTTAACAAATGAGGAAACTGAGGTAACAGAAGTCAAATGTTTACCAAGGTCATATAGGCAATTCCTTCTGCCAATAAAGGTTGGCATCTTTTCTGCAAAAATTCTTAAAGAATTGCTTGGGGGCACAGAGAGGTCAAGTGACTTAGTGTCCAGGGTCAGCTCCCTCTGATGTGTCAGAGAGGGAAGTAAGATCCCAAGTGTCCTGCATTCCAGAGTCAGCTCTCTCTCCATTATGTGCCATGCTATCTTACACTGGATATTTATTCTAATGTAAACACACAGACAGTTAAGTGGTAAAGTAGATAGCATACTGGGCCCAGAGTCAGGAAGACTCATCTTCCTGAATTCAAATCTGGCCTCAGGCACTTACCAGCTATGTGACCCTGGGCAAGTCACTTCACCCTGTTTGCCTCAGTTCCTCATCTGTAAAATGAGCTGGAGAAAGAAGTGGCAAATCATTCCTGAATCTCTGCCAAGAAAACCCCAAATGGGGTCACTAAAAGTAGGACACAACTGAAATGATTGAATACCACCACTACCACCACCAAAGTAAAGTTTGGCAAAGGCATTCCATGACCCCACCCCTCCTTCCTCATTAGCTTATTGTCCCCCTCCACCACCACCACACAGCCTTGCCCTTCAAGGATTATTTGGGCAGCATGTTCTCACTGCATTGATCTAAGTGAGCTTTTGTAGAGCTTGGGAATGAGGAAATTCCTGACCACTCCAGTAGCTTTGCCAAGAAAACCCCAAATGGGGTCAAAAAGAGTTGGACATAGCTGAAATGACTGAATATACATAGCAGCAGTGTTCCAAAACTTTTAGTGCAGTTTTAAGGTACTAAATATCACTGAGATTTTTTCAGGACATTCTGCATGTTTGTTTTTAAAGACTGGAACATATCAATGAATGACATCTTTGTTGTGGGCATACCACAACACCTATATTACACATGGCTTCATCTATGGCTTTTAATGATTAGTCTGCCATGTGGATTATAGCTTCCAGTTTTTAAAAAAAATCTCATTCACAAGTTCTGCAAGAGTTAAACAATGCAGGAGGAAGATGTTGCCCGAATAATCCCTGAAGGGCAAATCCATGTGATGGTGGTGGAGGGGGATAGAAAACTAACGGGGAAGGAAGGGGGATACCTTTGTCAAACCTTTACTTTGTTTAGTTGTTTCAGTCATGTCCAACTCTTCATGACTCCATTTGGAGTTTTCTTGGCAAAGATACTGGAGTGGTTTGCCACTTCCTTCTCCAGCTCATTTTACAGATGAGGAAACTGAGGCAAACAGGGTTAAGTGACTTGCCCAGGGTTACATAGCTGGTAAGTATCTGAGACTGGATTTGAACTTAGGAAGATAAGTCTTCCTTGTTCCAGGCCCAGGCACTCTATCCACTGAGCCAGCCAGCTGCCCTAATAGGATCCTAGGTATATAAGTAGAAAGGTCTCTCTAGTACAGCCCCTCTCTGTGTTGTATATATGTATGTTTGTATGTGCATGTATGTGTATATGTGTGTGTATATAGTTTTATTGCTGGCTTTAGATTTTTTATCACACTCATTTTTGGATATCCTGTCTCTGCCTTCAAATCCCCTCATTTCATAGATGAAGAAACAGGCCCAGAGACGTTAAGTTATTTACCCAAAGTCACCTGAGTAGTAACTAACAGAGATAGAAGTTGAACTCTCCCCACTATTATCACAATGACTGCTTTTTTTTTTCTTCAACTGGGCTTCTTGTCTGAAATGACTTACTATCCTTACTAACTGAATGTCTTCCTTTGAAAGATTTGGTCACTGTTCCTAAAATATGGGTTCCCAAACGAAACAATGAGGTGGCTAGATGGCATTGTAGGTGGAATACTGGGCCTAGAGTCAAGAAGGCTCATCTTCCTGAGTTCAAATCTGGCCTCAGAAACTTACTAGCTGTGTGACCTGGGCAAGTCACTTAACCCTGTTTGTCTCAGTTTCCTCATCTGTCAAATGAGTTGGAGAAGGAAATGGCAAACCACTCCAGTATCTCTGCCAAGAAGACCCCAAATGGGGTCACAAAGAGTTGGACAGGACAGAAAAATTGAATGCTGAAACTAAACAGTATTCTACATATAGTCACATCATACAGAATATAATGGGACTACCATCTCCCTTTTTCTAGATGCTGTATTTTCTTTGAATGCAGACTGAGCCAGCTTTAGTTTTATTGGAAGGAACACATCATATGACTATGGGAATGCTGCTGTCAGCATGTTGAATTCTACTGAGCTTGTGGTCTTCTAAAACCCCCAGATCCTCTTCACTGAAGTATGCCTTTTCTTTGAGCTATCACTTAAATAGCCTTTCACTGGAATTCAATTGACTTTTCACTTTTGTTTTTGACTCTGTGGAAGAGCTATGGAACTTAGATAGCCTTTCACTGGAATTCAATTGACTTTTCACTTTTGTTTTTGACTCTGTGGAAGAGCTATGGAAAACTGGATAACTGTATCACCTCAAACTGAATTTTATTTTCCCCTGCATGGGTTTAAATTGCCAAACATTCATTTCAACACATTAAAGTGGTAAAAAAAAATTGGCGGGAGGACAAAGACATTGAGTACTTCTCATCAGTTTCTAAAAGGTAAACTATCCCCTCTTACCCAACGCCTGGATTTTTGATGCCTGCAGTTGAACACTCTAGAGACCAAACTTCAGCATTCATTAATGAGCACACAGGAGTATCCAAATGAAAAGCTTATTCCCCTAATCTGAATCAAAACTCCTGAGATGAAAATATGTTTAGATGTGGAAACAGGTTTGTTTTTCATTTTTTCCTTGTTCTAATATTAGAACTGCTGCTAAAGGCCCTTAGGGGGTGGAGGCTGTATATTTTATCAGCCCCTCAAAATGTATGTTTTGACAGCATCAAATTCTGCTTTCTTTTTGACTTAACCTAGGATATTTCATTGGAATAGGGCAGAACTGTTAAATCCATGGCCTGCAGGTTGCTTGTGACCCAAACTAGATTAAAATGTAGTTCCTACCTGATTTTAATGTGTTAGTGTAACAATTAAAAAAGAAATATACAAACATGTATAGAAACATGTATTGACTTAGAAAACTAAGTCAATACGAGGTCTGCAGAGATTCGTATGTACTATGTAGCAGTATTTGAGCTTGACCCATTGGTATAGAGGAAATTCATTTTTACCAGTCTGGGTTAGTGCCTTCTCTGAAATTCATAGTCTGAGAGAGTTGGCTGGGAATACTGAGGTTACTTGTCCAGGGTCACATAGCTAGTATGTGTCAGAGGTAAGACTTGAGCCCAGCTCTTCTTGATCCGGAGGCCATTGCTCCACTCATTGGTAATGCTGTCTCTGATACATATATACTTGTGAATTCTGCATACGTTCCATGTAAACACTTGTGCTTTAGAGATATAATGATATGCAATTGTCTGGAAAAAGAGTGTGATAGACGGGCAGACAAAAGCAGAAAGGGAGAGAGAGAGAGGAGAGAGAGAGAGGAAGAGAGAGAGAGAGAAAAACAGAGAAAGAGATGGAGAGAGAGAGAAACAGAGAAAGAGATGGAGAGAGAGAGAAACAGAGAAAGAGATGGAGAGAGAGAGAGAGAGGAGAGAGAGAGAGGAAGAGAGAGAGAGAGAGAAACAGAGAAAGAGACGAGAGAGAGAGAAACAGAGAAAGAGACAGAGAGAGAGAGAGAGAGAGAGAGAGAGAGAGAGAGAGAGAGAGAGGAGAGAGAGAGGAAGAGAGAGGAGAGAGAGAGAGGAGAGAGAGAGAAACAGAGAAAGAGACAGACAGAGAGAAACAGAGAAAGACAGAGAGAGAGAAAGACAGACAGAGAGAGAGAGAGAGAGAGAGGAGAAGTACTTACCAAGCTCAGGTGCCTTGCTTAATACAAATGCATACGCCCAAAATTTGCTGACAGGTCCATTGTAAAAACTCTGGTCACAAACTGACTGCTTCAAGCCTTTGGTCATCAAAATGTACACCATATAAGCACCAGTTCGAAGAGCACCGAATATACTTCATAATAAAAAGAGAAAAGAAACACAGTTCAAGAATTACGATTTCCTTCTGACAACAATCACATATATCAAAGCATAGTGCCACTTGAAAAACCAGCCAACAATAGTGGGACCATCGTTCATGACGTACTCCAAGACCTAGGAGGAGGATCTCAAAGTACTTCACAAATGAGCTCCCAATGCTAGTTTTAGCTAGCAATGTCATAGTGCTTTAAGACATGCCAAGCACTTTACATAAATGATCACATTTGACAATTTGATCCTTCCTGATCCTTGGTCTGCCTTCTCCTTCTCCTGTGTCTTTGCACTGGCAAGGAATGATACTCATGCCTGGAATGATCTCTTTCCCCACCTCTGCCTCTGAGGACCCCTAATTTCTTTTAAGTATCATCCCCTATATGAGGCTTCTTAATTTTGCTCAGTTGTTAGTATGTCTCCCTGGCTCTGGACAAATTATCTTATCTCTTTTTTGTACATATCTAGATATGGGCATTTTGTCTTCCTAGGCTAGAATGTAAGCTCCTTGAAGGTGGGGACTGATTTACTTTCATCTTTTATGTGCCTAACAGAGTCTGCTTTTTGATTGATTGATTGATTGAGGAAAAAGAAAATATTTAGTAACATGAGTTGTCCTACTAGTGTATCTCAAAGCAGGAAAGGACTTGAAGGTTGAGACTTAAATACACATTCAAGATGCATCAAGACTAGGAAAAAAAAAGTTTGTGTGCTGAAACATTTATGGAGAGAAACCAATTTGGCTGGGGAGCTGTCTTCTCCTAAATGCGTGGAGAAGTCTTCTCACCACTTGGGGTGATGGTTGCATTTGGGTCATGCTGTGCTACGGGGAGCCAGCTTTTCATCGGTCTGAGAAATGATGTGCCAAAAGGAGAGGCCAGACCTTGCCCAGCTAATTAGTCCTCTTCTTGCTGTTAGAATCATTTTAAGATGTTCAAGTGAACACTGCTACTGCTGACCATAGCAGTCTGTCCAGGGAACAACATTAGTGGGGATTCTAGAACATTAAAAGCCCCAGGGAACAACTGCTGAATTGCACAGCCAGCCAGATGGATGCCCACTTAGGGAATGGAGGTTGGTCGTTTTGGTTTTCTTCCAATTTCAATTCTAACCAGTATAAGCTCAGCTTTCTGAAGATCATGAGGGAAAGGAATAGACATTTATTAAATACCTACTATGTGCCAGGCACTGTGCTAAGAGCTTTACAAATATTATCTCATTTGATCCTCCAATGACCCTTGGAGGTAGGAGCTATTATTATCATCCCCATTTTACAGATAAAGGAAACCAAGGTAGACAGAAGTTAAATGACTTGCCCAGGATCACACAGCTAGTTAAGTGTCTGAGCTGTATTTGAACTCAGGCTTCTTGACTCCAGGTTCAGTCCTCTATCCACTGAGTCACCTAGTTGCTTCTCAGCACAATAAATGATGGGCTATGTGTTAATTACTGCTGTACAATTAAGACGGGAACTCCTGTGCATAGCATCTTTTCCTTCAATGTCTTGTAGCATCTCATGAAATGTTTATTGGAGAATATGATCAGCATATAGTTATGAGCAATCATTCTACAGTTTAGAAAGTGCTCTCCTAATGAACAGCCCTATGAGGTAGGTAATGCGAATAATACTGAAATTCAGAGGTGAATTCCAAAATCACACCACTAAGTGTTGGTGCCCAAACGCAAACATAGGTCCTGACTTCAGGACCTTCTAAACCAGGGCTTCTTAAACTCATTTGTTGGTGTTGCATGGCCTGAGAGCGTGCACAGGGCAAAGTGCACATGCTTTGTGTTCACAACAAAGGCTGTATTAAGTTGCGCCATTTAACATTGATAGGGCTTGCCCGAAACACCTTGGATTCATTTTGTGTTTGATTGTTAATTAATTTTTGGTCATTGCGCATTTAGAAACCTTTTACTATTGCCAAAATTTTCCCAATTTGGGGTCATGACCCATCATTTAAGAAGTGCTGCACTATTCTAACCTCTTTATAAAACAGTACTATAATAATTTTAAAACACTCTGTCACTTAAAGATAGGGACTATACCAGGGAAGTTTTAAAAAAAATTGATACAGGGAAATGCTAGATGAAGAAAGTCCCACAATGTAGGTTGGCACCTTTTCTGTAACTAAGAGTCTTAGAGGGTTGCCAAGAGTCCTCAGGGTTAAATGACTCATCCAGGGTCACACAGCCAATATATGTCAGAGGTAGCTTTTCCCGATGTCCACGGCTTCCAGGCTAGTTGTTCTAGCCAGCACCAGAGTAGAAAACTGATCATTAGCTATTAAATTGGAACTATAATGAAATGGGTAGGCTCAGATTCTTTAAGAGTCTAGCTAAGGACTCAGATTTTTATAATCCAGCCAATAGCTCATAAATATTCAGATTCCTTAAGAGTCTGGCCAATATGATGGATCTTTAATAAACCTCGTCTTTGGCTGAAAGAAAGGTTGGGTCCAATTCATTTGAACATGACCTGCGTGTCATGATTTTAGGGTCCCAGCACCCCTAAGCCTCTAGACTTCAACATACGGTTCCCTGACTGGGAGAAACCACCTAATCTCAACTCTTCTCCAGCAAAGACTGGAAGGACATACAAAGGCAGATTCACTAATCAAAATTTCCCCATGGAGGTAAGAGTGACTTCTTATGAGACTAATGATCAAAAATGCTGTTAGACCTCATGTGAATGATTACATGAGTGAATTTTTAGGCCAAGAATCCAATAAAATGAGAAGGCAGAAGACAGGCATGGAAGAAAAAAGCTGTCACTGACTAAAATAAAATTATAAATCAGCCTGCCTGATCTTGGGGAAAAAAAAAAGAAATGGGTACCCATTGATTGGGGAATGGCTGGTTCAATTGTGGTACATGAATGTTACAGAATATTGTTATAGCATAAGCGATGACAAAGATACAAATGACTACAACAAAATATAAATGAAAAGATCACTTAATGGCAGCTGAATTATGGAGAAACTCAAAAGACGATGAAAGATTCAGAGAAAAGATAAAGAAACCTTTCTCTCTCCATGTAGCAGAGAAAAGAGGTCCCACTAAGACAAACAATACGTGGTCAGATGCTGTCACTCTCTTGTATGTTCTCGCTTTTCATTGTCACTAAGAAGGGTCCCATTAGATGGCGAAGGCATTTTTTGGGGGAAGGGGAGCCTTTTTCTCCAGAAATGACTGTGTTGTACAGAAATAAGTTATCAAGAAAAATTATAAAGGGAATGGGAAATTCAGAGAAAAATGGGAAGGCATGAATGAGCTGACATGGGATTAAAAAAAAAGGAGTACAATACGTATGATAGCCCTAATGGTTTAAAGGAAAACACTATTAAAAGACATCAGAACTCAGAGTGGGCATATCTAATCTTGGATCCAAAGAACTCATTTATATTTTATTTCAGTCATTCTATCTTTGTGAAACACATTACCACTTCACAATGGAGAGATGGTAGATTAAAGTCATAGATTTTGGTGCCTGTGTTTAGTGACAGGCATTATATCAATTTGGTTTGCATAACCTTTTTCTTTGTTATAAAAGAGGTTTTTATTGCATATACTGTCATACTTAGTTGGTATGCTGTTTGGTGTTGCTGAACTCTTTCTTCCCCCTTGTTCTTTTTGCATCCTTTGTTATTCTAAAGGAGGGAGAGTGATCAATGTGGAAATGAAGTTGCTGGGCATGTGATCCCTCTTCCTGGAGAGACTGAGGCTGTGGGTCACTGGAGGTCAGGATTTCTGAGCTTCAACAGGTTTGCACTAACATCTTTTGAGCCTGTGGGCGCAGAGGAACCCTCAGACTGCCTAAGAAGGGTGAACCAGCCCAGGTCAGAAACAAAGATCAATGATTTCTTGCTGAAGTTCTAACTCAGAAGTGACCCTGGAAAAGGGAGGCAGTGAGTCTCAAGAAAAAAGAAAGAGAGATAGAGAACAAGAGAGCGCAAAGATGTAAAAACAAAAGAGATTTTCAAAATAGATACTCACTGATTTAGAGAATGGCTAACTAAATTATAGTAGATGAATATCAAAGACTAATGTTTCAAAAGTGATAAATATGGTGAATGTCAAGAAGCGTAGAAAGACTTATATGGACTGATGCAAAGTGAAGGAAGTGCAGCAGGGAAAAAGAATGTACACAGTGTAATTGGAAAGAGTTTAACAACAAGTGAAATTGAAAAAGATGGGAAATTAACATGACTAAACTTGGCCTCAAAGAAGAGATATGACAAGATACCTTCTTTGACATTTCTTTCCAGAGGTAGGGGACCATGAGTGTGGCACACCATATATATCATCAGACATTTTCAATATCACAGAAATACCAGCATTTGAGAATTAGAAGGTATCTCAAGCATCATTTAGTCCAATCTGAGATTCTTAAATCGGAACCTCCACTAGCACATAATGTTAATAAAATGTATTTAATTTTTTCTTTTGTTATAGAGGATGGAATTACTGGCAAATGACAATGACTTAAAAATAAAAATCATCAATAAAACCGTTTCTAAAAATAAAAATAAAAGTTCTCAGCAGAAAAAAACCCCGGGACTACTAAAATAACTGACCTAGATAATTTAAGGCAAAAAAAAATTGTGCCCAGGAGAGTTGACATTCAGGTCCTTATCTTAACCAGACAACTATGTCCTTCTCTGACCTCAAGGAAGGCAGGACTTCAAGAGCAGAGCTAGGTAGTGACATTCTGTCCCTGTTAAATTCACAAAAACACTTTAGCTTTTGCTTTCCCACTTACTGATGAATTGCCTTAGGATGAGAAAATCTGTCTCCACACTCAAAAGAAACAGCTTTTCCAGCCTCTCCTGTTGCAGAAAGAGTCATCAGCCCAGCCCACTGAGCAGACAGGGCTCAGACTGTCAACATTCTGTGGATAAGGGTCCCTCTGGGGGTATGAAAACACACTGGTCTGACTGTCCAGGCGAGTGAGCCTCTCAATAAGGCAGTCATCAGATTTGC